CAACCAGTCTACCTGAAAAAACACAGAAATCAGGGTGACACATAGGGATCTCTTTATAAATATATTGCTGAGCCATTTGCCCTGCAAATTGCTGTGAGCTTTCTCTCTGTGCGAATGGAGGCAAAAACAAATGTTTTAGTATATTTTCTTTTCAGCTCAAATGTAATGTAATACTGCATTATGGCATCTAGCTGGAGTTAAGGACCATAGAAGCGTAGGAGATAAGTATTTGTTTCCTATGCTCCTCAGCACTATCTAGTGGCCATAATGCTGTATTTCCATATGTTACATTTAACCTGAAAAAAAATATGCTAAGAGGTCTATTCACGAAGCTGCCGAAGGATCTAGCCGCAGCTTCGGTCGATCCTTCGGCTAGCTTCGGCCTCAGGACCCCTTCGGTTCAGTAGACTATAGCCCCTATAGCTCCCGAACGTGGCCGAGCGGCTCAGTCGAGCCGAACGCATATGCCTGCTTCTGACAGCCGTAAGATCACGGCTGGCTCCGGCCACTTGCAGAGAGATCAGCGTCCCTGGTTGCCTGCTAACCCGGGACACTGATCTCCAAACAGCTAACTCTCCCTGGTGCCCCGGGAGTCTCCTGCTCCCGGCCGCCAAGGAGAGAAACACTGCTGTTTCTTTTTTCTCTTTATTCTGACACGGAGCGATGTCAGAATAGAAAAAAAAAAAATTCCAAACCCAGAGTTTCCCAGGATGAATGGCTCTGTGAATTGTTTATAAATAGAACCCAGAAACTCAATCCTGGACCATGCCCTTGACCAGCTGAGTCTATTTGTCACAGGCAATAAAACACAGGGACATGTGAATGTATTTCAAAGATCAGGGCCGTCCCTTTAATGAGACAGCCTAAGACGGTTGCCTCAAATGTAATATCTTTGGGTCATGTGGTTGGCAGAACAGCATGACCTCTCTGCTGTACAAAGTATGCAGTGTGCCTGCCGCCCCCTTCTCGGCCAGAGCATCTCAGGTTGCTAAGAGCTGGGTGGGGAGATGTGTAAGGGGCCATACTTATCTCTCCGCCCAGCTCTTAGCAACCTGGGACACTCTGCCGGCATCCTGCTCAGCTCCTGGCAACCAGTGACATCACTGGTTGCCAGCACCTGAGAGGGACGCTCTAGGCAGAGTGCTGCACCAGCTCCTCTCAACCAGTGATGTCACTAGTTGCCGGGAGCGGGGCGGGATGGTGGTCAGAGCTTGAGGCCACACCATACCGCCCCCTTAACTTGAGACCCACCACCACCTCAAGTGGTGAAAAGGCTAGGGACGCTCCTAGCGAAGATGTACCACTTTTTTTTTTTTTGCCCTGACATACACACTAGGTGGAACTCTGCGTTCTGGTTACTTAGGTCAACCTGCATACCTTCCCCGTGTTTTTTTTTACCAGTGCTTACATTAAATAATAAAACACTCCTAATTCCTAGTATCTTCATTTTATGGGGTAGAAAATCTTTTAATAGCAATACTGCCTCGGGATAATTGTAATAGCTTTCCCTATAATAAACTAGGTAGGGTTTTTCTTCTCTGTCTATACAGCTCAATATTTATGGACTATTACAACGCAGTTCAGAGGTGATACACTGTACCTGTATGTGTAAGGGTCCAGTTGGGGAGGATATCATTTTAGTGGTCTACAAAAGTTTTGTGACTTCCATCTGATTGGATCGTTGCCAAGCACAGCCTGTAAAAAGAGCATGTGTGGGAAAATATTTTTATGCAAGCTGTGGCAGGTAAACTGGCAAGAAGATTAGTAATTGCAGACAATGAGACCAGCTGAAGATTTATTATGTAGTAAACTGTCATTAGAGAAAAGGGAATAATGAAGAAGATGCTTCCAGCACTCCCCTAGAGGAAGCAGTTGGCACCTGCAATGTCAGTGGGAGAGAGATTAATGTAGCATCGACTGTAAATTGGCATCCATTAAGTTGCCAGGGAATCCATGGCATGCATGGTAGAAAGATCAGTACCTGTGCATTGAAATACAGAACTGGTAAATTAACTTTAATGCAGCCCACTGTATGTGACTTAATCTTTCATCCTGCTAACAAAAAAGAAAGGGGCTAGAATGACTAGTGAGTGCCCATAAGGACCGATCTGAGAAAGTGTTGGTGGAAGGAGACAGTGAAAAAAGCATAAAGGCCCCTCTAAGGTGCTTACTGTATATATGTTTCAAATTCCCAGTGGGCTATCCTAAGCAGATAATGGAATCAGTGAGTATTTTAAATACTGATTCTTGATTTACTTTGTAGCTTTGGCTGTGGTTTTTTCGGCCCTTTAAAGCAAC